CCAGCGACTCTAAGACCGAGCTTGGAAGAGCCCCACTTTTTCAGGCCACGAGCAGCCGAGACATGCAGATGAGTTGAACCTCCCAGAGCGCTGACAGGAGTCTTTGAAGAAAACGGTCCCGGGCTCAGGTTCTGGGAATTTCGTCGGAGCAATGCCGAGGAATGGACCCCTCCGGATAGAGAAACGCGGCCGGTTTGAAACGCAAACCGCCAGCACACCGGGACGCATCCATCTCTGCCCTTGGCCTCGGGTCAAACCACCACACCCGAAAGGTTAACTTGAGACAAAAGGGATTCTGTAGCTCTCATTTTTCGACATGCATCAGGGTACCTTGTTTGGGCAGACGGACACTTCAAAGGGGAAACCGCACCATCTTGGACGCACCTGGCCCATCCTTCTGGGGTCTTAGAAGATCTTGTATATTTTGAGGTCCGATTTATTAAGTACGCAACTAGTGCTTCCACAAAAACCCACCTCGGGGACCTTTGGAGCTCCCACGAAAGCGCGCCATCGCGCCATGGCGCCCATGGCGCCGAGCGCGCCTCCCCCGCGGAGCCAAAAGGCGGAGTTCGTGTTGGCGGGGCTGGCGGCCTGTGGCGCCATCACGGCCACGAACCCCGTGGATGTGGCGACTCGGCGAAGTCCAGGTGGCGAGGTACAGGGGACAGGGGGGGGCCCTAGATGGGCTTTTGATGGGGGAAGGAGGTCGTTGTTTTTTTTGATTCGGACACAAATTCCAAAATGGGTGGCTTTTGATGTGGGTGTTGATTTAGAACCAAGAAAGAGAAGTGCCCATGCTTGTGGTTGAACAAAAAAACACATCGTCACCTTGAAACCGGCTTCACCTTGTGAGTCCCAGTTCGAGCGAGTTTCCCGTCCAAGGTGGCGATGCCTTTTTGGATTGGGGACCCGGTTTTTCAAACAAAGCTGTTGTTCGACCTCCAATTCACTTTTTGGTTTATGGGTCCAAACAACAGGTTTGTGGTTGGAAAACCAGAGAGAACCTGGAGAATGAATAGCGGAGCTGTGGTCACATCTGGCAATGCTCGTTTAAGTTGTTTCAGGTTGAGCGAATGGAAGCTGCTATTTGGTGGATTCTTTAGCCGTTAACGTTTTGGAAAAATGTTGAGTTTCCCACTAGCCAGAAGTTAAACTCGGCTTAGATGTACCAAGCATAGCGATGCGGGAGCAAGAAGCTTAAATCTGGGCAGGGGCAACAGCCACGAAGCAACTGGCGGTTGTTCCGTGTCAGGGGAATGAGACAGAAGGACCCCAAACTGAGCCATCCCCAACTTCATTTTCTTTTCCCAGAGCCTCCTGGCTTCGGCTTTCAATGGAAGACCCAACCCCGAAGCACTGGACACCCCGGAGATGGTTGGTCTCGCCTGGCTGTTTTTTGGTCTGCGGGTTATCAGAGTCAACTGGTGTGGGAAACCTTGCACCTATTACTGACTTTTCTTGCAAAACCGTGGGGCCAATTTGCTTTGGGGTTTGGCTTGCAGCTGTCTGGTGGCGGTCAGGGGCGGGCCTTGGGCTCGCCTCATTAAAAATGAGCAAAGCAGAGAGGCCGGGGGGTGCTTGAAAACCCCAAGTCATCATGAGAGAATCACCGTGACAGTCTTTGTGCCCTTTTGACAGCCCTGCGAAACTCGCCCTCGACTCACCCGGTCTCAAGTAACTGACGCCGAACTTTCGAAAGGTCAGGCCGAAGCTCCAGTTGAACACGAGACGGAGCTTCTCCGGGTAAGCATGTTTGTTGTTGGGAAACAGCTTCCCCATTCTTGCTTGCGGTTTAGTGGCTGAAATCCAACCTCTTAACTTTTTGTTTTTTTGCTCCCCAAACCCAACGTCAACCAAGTAAGAGCATGGCATCGGCAGACAGCTTAACGAGCGCTGGGCCACAAGATGAGGTCATCGTGAATAGGCTTTGGGGTTCTCAGCACCTTCAGAATTTGAGATCGTTTGGAGCCAGGGGTTTGCGACATGGGCATGTATCCAAACAACAGAAACAATCATGATGGCAGTTTTCCGGTTGGTTTCCTTAAAACACACCTAAAAGGGGGTACCACCAAGAAAAGAGACGCCCAATTATTCCACCACAAGTTTATCTTTTGGGACCGACGAACCACTTTCCAATTCTGGGCATCTTATGGCAGTTTCCAGTTATGGCATCCTTTCTCCCTTGGTTTGGCTCAATGAAAATGGTCCTGACCCCAAAACGTGCCAGGGCTCTGCAAATCCACCAGCGACGCATTCCCTTTCAAGCCCCAACCTTTGCGCAACCCTTGGGGGCCTTCTGATTGAAAAGCCCAGTGGCCCCCAGCATGGGGTGTCCTTTTGTTGGACCCAAGTCAAGGCATGCCATTCTTACATTCTTACTGTGGACGATATCCTGCAGTTGGTAGGTGGTTTACCCCAGTATTTACAGGGTTTGTTTATCCATCCTAACCTTTTTTTTATGTACAGTCGGCGCGTTGAGCAATCCAAAGGGCATGCTGTCACATATGTATTCAAATATTTGTCTTACGTAGGGACCCTTTGAGGGACATCAACACTTCGGTGCCCCTCGCCGCTTGCGAGATGGTTCCAACGAATTCTTAGAAGTCCTGGAGCCGAAAGGGTAAGCAAAACCATCCGCCTCCAAATGCCTGCTGGTGCAGAAAAGGGAATGAGGGAATGGCCCTTCTAAAGCATCCAACTGGTGGTGGCCTTTAAGGGGACCGAAGCCTGGGTTCATTCCAACTCATTCCCTACTAAAGACCAGTTTTGAAATGCCGCCTATAAAGCCGGCCATAGCAAAAATTCACTGTTCTTGGCATGTTTTTTGGTTTTTTAGTTGTTTGGTTCTGTGCATTTTTACTGGGGGTCTGCAAAAAGCAAAGTTTTTTGCTACCATACCAAGAGTAGAGATGCAAACTCTGGCCCCGGTGTGTTTGACTTTTCGCAGGTGAAGACGAGGCTGCAGCTTCAGGGGGAGCTGAAGGGTGCGAAAGCGCCTCGGAAAACGACGGGGGGTGAGGGTACGGCCCCCCCCCCCCCCCCGTTGGATTGCTGGTCAGACACCACACCGGGAAATTAGGTACCCTGAATTGTGGTTTGGATTGGATTTGAACCCCTGGTTCTTGAAGAGGTCAGACACCCGGAAATCAGATAATTACCCCTTACCCTCCCACCAATTAACATGGAAACTGACGGCCGGGGGGGGGGGGCTGTAGGTTGGGGGTTGGGGGTTGGGAGACCATTTTCCGTTTAAGCGGATCCCGTGTCATGTTAATTGGTGGGAGGGCAATTGGTGGCTTGGATTGGCGTGGATTTGGATTTGAGCTTATGGTTCTTGTAGAGAAATGGGAACCCACCCTTTAACCGCCAACAACACCGGGCACCAGTTGGAGGGAAGCTGAGGAAAAGTAGCCGTCTCAGATCACTTAGTTTTTCGCGCAGGGGTATTGGAGAGCAGATTTCAGCATTTTGATTTCTCGCGCAGGGGCATTGGAGAGAGGTGGCATTGGTCCTCCAAAGAATGGGGAGACATGAGTGCGATCAACATTTGGGTCACCACTAAGGAAACATCTGAAAACCTTGATGGCACACGACCCCAGATTTCCCTTTTTATGCCGTATAAACATCACCTCTTGGGACACGGCTAGATGAGTTTCGTCTTGGTCAAGTGATGCTTCCTCTGAATCCTCTGAATATGGGGAGCCCTGTCTTATTTTCATACTCTTTTGTGGGGGTGCCCTCTTGCCCGTTGCTTCTTGAAGCAAACAAACAAACAAAGGCAAAGGAACACACAATACATATGACATAAGATTTGGTGTCAACAGGGGTGGGCGGTGGTAGCATGAGGAGAAATCAACTCAGCAAACAGGGGTTGACATATTGGCGATGGTCAAACAACTCAAATTAGAAAGTTGTTGATAACATAGGTTATACGCCGCTAAATCAGTCCCCTAAGCGAACTTCACTTAGTTAGTGGGTTACAACACAGGATAACCACTTGCCAACTTGGCGAAACAAACATCCAAGTAGACAACGTAAAGGTTTCTAAACGCACACTAAGTCGCCTTTTGAACTGATCAAACATTGCAGCTGCTAGGTTGCCAGGTTTTCAACCCATTGGTGGAAGTCTTGGCTGGGGAAGTACTTTGGATGGACGATCCCATTGAATACCAACAAACAATGGGTTCCCATGGTTTGAAAGTGGTGCGGGACATCGTCCATCCCCAGTATCACCACTGGGTTCACACAAATTTGTGGCTGTTCGCAGTATGGGTGTGTCTCAAGAAAGGGGAACCCCAAAAATGGGTGGTTTTCTTTTGGTTTTCCTTTAAACAAGCCAACAACGGTACCCTCAAAAAGACACTCGTATGGTTTGTAGTTGTTTGGCTAATTGGTCAGTCTTTTTGCAAGATTTAGGACTGGCGGTTTGAGGACGGCTGATACCTGTCCAACAAACCACCAATGCAAGCCACCAATTCAACAAAGCTGATAAACAGCCGCTGTCAAGTAAAACCGACATCATATTTCCCCCCAACCACTCCTCAAAGCGAGTCACTCGTGGGGGCATGACAAGGTCTGCTTGGCAAGCTGTTCAGTGGTCACCAAGGCCTTAAGGCCAGGGTACGCGCCCAACCCCCCCCTTCTTCAACGCCTGCCGAGGGTCCCTGAAATTCCAGGGCATGCGTACTGTGGACGGAATCCACGTTGGAAGTTGTGAGACATCATTCCATGGGTTTCTTAGGTGCAGGATTTCGTCCATCCACAGGGGTGACGTTGGGAACCCTTTCAGCCCGTTTGAGGGGGAGGCTCAACGCCGACAAGCTGAGGCATCTGCGTACACAGGCATCTTGCAAGCCATGGGGCGCATCTTTCAGAAAGAAGGCCGGGGGGTGGGTCAGGGCTCCTTAGCATGGATGGTTGCGAAATCCTCTTCTCACGGTTCAGAAACCCAACGGTTTCTGACACGATTCCCCAACGCAAATGCCAACAAATGGCTGTGGGTCAAAACCAATGGTACCATTTTGGGGTAGGTGCACCACCAATTTTTGTCTATTTTAGTGGGGATTGGGATGTTCACTGGGGGTACCGGATTTTGACCCATGGCCAAATGTTATGGGTTCTTTCCCATGGTTTCATTTCGAGGTGCGAATGGATTTTGTCCTTCCACAGTATGGGGGGTTGTCAAACACTGGGGATCCTTGCCGGCGCAAGACAGTACCAGGGTCGAAAAGGGGCCCTGCTTTGTGCTTTGGCAACTCTGCATTTAATTTGCCCTTGCTGGGGTGCTGTTTGAAGGTTGGACTACCTGGAAACTGACGTCCACACTTGGGAACCCCCAAGTAACATGGGCAAGTTGTGGGCTCACCGATGCGGCAGTAAAAACAAGGAGCTGACCCATGATGCATGTCGCTTTCTTGGGGATTCCAACAAAATTCAGCTAGTGAATCGGAGGAGTTGGTTGCTCAAAGAACTCCAAGCGGGACACAAAGACTCAGATTGAGATGGGTGCGGCGCAAAACGGGGTCCTCCAACATTGGTTGTTGTTGAAAGCATCCCTTCTTAAATGGGACACCCTCTATGAATCAACTAGCTATTCGCACCTTTGTACAGAACTCTCTTTGTGCTTGAGTTTGTGTGCATAAAAGTAGGAGGTTCTCCAAATCGTGTGCAAAAATGAGTCGGTACCCTATCCCACTTGCGAAAATCTGGTCAATAATAGAGTGTTGATCGGGAGTTGGATTTAATGGAGTGGTTTGATTGGTTTGATAGGCCATCATTGGCCTCAGATTGTTTGAACAATCTGGTGGATTAGAGTTTTTTTTGCAAGAGGATGCAACGCTGGTTCCCTTTGTGCAGCGGAGCAACACTGGCTACTTAGCATCTCTTCTCGTGATGTGGGGCCCAATTGCTGCTTTGCTCGTCCCAAAGTTGACAAGATAGGGACACAACAAGAATTGGCCGAGACATAGGCACCACCTACAAATCGAACGCACAAACACGTGTCAACACTGGTGATTGCTTTGGGATGCTGGATTGCAGAGGGAAGCAACATGAGGGTCAAAAATAGTTGGTAACCCCAAAATGGATTGCCCTGGTAGATGGAAACATCAACTAAAACCTGGTGCATATCCTGGTGGTTTAGTTTTGAGCCATACCCATTTGAGAGGGGATGCCTCTACGTGTTGCGGGGGGGTCTGCTTGGAGTTCTCTGACAGCGCGCTCTCCCGAGGTCTGCGGGGCCTGCAGCGGGGTTTGTGCGCGGCCTATCTGCTGCAATTCTCCAACGTGGGCTGCCGCTTCGGGTGCTACGGGTATCTGAAGCAGTTGTTTCAGGTGCCAGGCGTTGGGGGCCGAGTTGCTGCCTGTTTGGGGCTGGTTTCAAGGGAAACCAACCGGAAAATCCACACTTTTGGGCGCCCCGGCGCCAAAAATAATATTATTAATATATCTACGGCACATACATGACCCGGTCCGGCTCTGTTTTGGGTTGGTTTCGGGACTGGGTTGATCCATAAAATGGCCGCAGTCCTTTGAGTTTGTTTTGAACTAAGGAAAAACATGAAACAAAACCACACCCCAATATTTTTGGGACGAGTGCTGTCATGTGACTTGAGGGCATTTTTTGCCTGACCGAGTTGACGGGACGGGGACTGTCCAGGTTGTTTGCCCTCTTTTAAGCCCGGGTTTGAGGGAATTGGGCTGGAGGCTTCGCCCTCTTGCGTTTGAAGTGCAAAAACAAGACATCATGCATAAAGCCCGGTGGTTGAAGGGGTGTGGTTGTTGGAGAACGCCGTGGTTTGCTAATGCAGACCTCGTGTGAACCGCTTGGGAAACCCTGCCACTTTTGGGACCAAAGTGGGATGTAGCCCGTGCGATTGTGCCAGGTTCCCAGGCTCCGGTCCCCAAATTTTTCGCAGCGAAGGGGTGCCTTGCCTCACCACTTTGTGGTGCTGCTGGTTTCAATCCCCGCGGGGTAGAGTGGACATTTGTGTCAAAGAGGGGGGGAAATTGGGCTTTTCCTTTTGGTCTCCTTTGGAAACACAGCACCAAGGCACCAACTCCAAAAAATCACACTCGTCCTGTTGCTGAAGTGACTGCTTTTACATTTCCCCTAGTTTTACGAATCGTTTTTCCCAGGGAACTTGGCTATGTCCTTTAGCAGTGCCCTTTCTCACCCTTTTTTTTGGGGACAGGGTTCCCCTACTAAAATCGACTACAGAACAAAGAAAAAAAGACTACAGAAAACATAATAATAATAATAATAATAATAATAATAATAATAATAATAATAATAATAATAATAATAATAATAATAATAATAATAACAATAATAATAATAATAATAATGATAATAATAAAACACGGGTACCAGCTTCTTCTTACCTCTCAACTCTGGAGGACCTGGTTTGGGCAAACCGCCCCAGGCCGCCCCGCCCCAGGCGCGTGGGTCGCTCCGTCGGTTCCACTCGCCTCCGTCGCAGGTGCGGCCTGGGGAGTCCACCGGCGCGTGGCTGAGCGCCATGGGCCTGGGCTTGGCCTCCGGGGCGCTGGCGGGCCTGGTGTCCAACCCCTTCTTCCTGCTGAAGAGCCGATTCCAGGCCCTCGGATCACCGGATCGGAGGTGTCGTCCTTTAAAGAGCCTCGCGCTCTTCCTTCCGCGGGGCTGTTTTTCCTTTGGCGTTTTTGAGCCTCGCGGTTTGTTGCGTTTTTTTTTCCCCCGCGAGATCCAAACTGATTGGGGATGGCAGGTGGTGGCGTCTTTGAGTTGCTTGGGGGTGCCCAGCCATCCGTTTCAACTTTGGGTTTTGGAGGTTTTTCGGTGGTCTAGTCGTTTCCGGGTTTCGCCGGGTTTCGCCGGGTGTCTCACCAACCCGTTTGAACATGGCGGGTTTTTAGGCGTCTGGTTCAAGCTGGGTGTTCAGACGATTTTAAATGGTTTCGTGGGGGGGGGGGGGTGCCCCGTTCGGGTATGGTTGGTGTCATTATGTTGGTTCTATTTTTGGGGGCCGAGTCAGAAACTGGCGGGTGGTTTCCCTTTAGAGGCACTTGTGACTTTGACAGTGGTAGAATACTGCTTAGCTGCTATTGGGTTGGATCTTTAGACTTTAACTTTTTGGTTGAAATCAAGTTGGGTTTTCCACCGAACCCCCCAAAAAGTTGAAACTTTTTGCAGGAAAATCAACAGCAACCAAGACTGGGGCCAGCATGTTTTCCCTAGCAACTCCAAGAGGTACCCAAGGTCCACCTTTTTGCGAGCGGGTTGGCAATTCCAGGCGCCGGCTCCCTTAGGTGTCAGGTGGTTTCCTCACGCCCGACGCCCAGGAAAAAATGAAAAGGCGCCGGGCACGCCCCACATGTCAACCCGCTGAGTTGCTAGTTGGGTATGTGTCAACATAGGGGGAAGTCCCTAAAATGGGTTGGTCGGACACTCATAAAATCAGTACACCTTTGGTGTGAAACCGTGTGAAACCCCGGTCCAATAGGGGGTACGGTCCCAAAAGTTTCGGAAACGGGGAAAGGAGCATGTTGCAAAACGGAGGTCTGAGATTCAACACTTGAGCGCTGGTTTCCAGGCGCAAAGCAATCCCCACTTTCACGTATGTTGATTTTGAGAACTTTCCGCCTCGGGTGCGTTTTCCGGGGTTGGCATAAAGTTGAGGGACCAGGCCAGGCTTCTTTACCCCGCAGTTGGACCAGAATTCCGCTGGATCGCCCGGAAGCCTTCGTCCCATAGAAGTAAAAAAATCAGCAAACGAAGCGAGAGTTTTGAGAGACTCAAGACCTTAGCTATGTCCCCCAGTAGTGCCCTTCTCTCCCCTTTTTTGGGGGAGGGTTCCGCTACTAAAATGGACTACAGAAAAAAGTTGGTACCCTTATTCGAACCTCTCAAGTCTGGAGGACCTAGTTAGGCTCTCAAGGTTCTCCTTTTGTTATTTGTCAGAATCTTCGCTTCATTCGCCCCTTTGGGATGTGATCAAGCGCTGAAAGGATGGGAAGGGATCTACAGTAGAAAGCCTGGAGAAAAAACGAGGTTGAGACAGACATGCCCAACTGGAAAGGGGGTTGCAAGCAAGGGGAGCGGAGTGTTGAGGCTTCACTTGTACATGTGGGATTTGGTGTGTCCTTTTGGGATGGTGCTTCGATGACCAAACATTGCCACGTATTGGGTTTCCGTTCTAAAGCTTGAGCCTCTCAAAAAGAGGGGCAGGAAGCTCATCTGAATGAGAGGGGTCATGAGTCAGAGATCGATTGGCCTTAGCCACAGTTTCACCCGAACTCGACCAACATGGTTGTTCCATTCAGGAGGTGTCTGCATGGTTGCTTCGGACCGCCTCCCAAGAAACCGGCTGGTCACAAAAAGGCTCACTAAGCTGATTCGAGGCGCTGGGGTTTTCGGGGCGATTCGGGAGAAAAGTGTCTGGTTTCATCTATGGTCAACAAGGCCCGGAAAGGGTTTTGGTCTGGGGTCATGATTTTGGCTGTTTCTAGGGGTCAAAGTCAGAAGTTGGGGTCCCACTTGGGGGTGACTTCGATAGTGGTAAGATAATGGGGTCAGGTTGGTTCCTCTTTCAGTTGCCGTAGATAGAATTGAGGGGCCAAGGCCCCATGAAGGCCCCCTTGAGTTCTTCAGATGCGTGGAGCCAGGCGCGGGCGAAACAACACTGCTGTCACATGGCCGAGATTTCAACCCTATGGAACGAAGCCAAGTGGTATCTGTGGCATGGGCAAGCATGCTAGTAGCATGATGCTACAGCATGGCACGTGGCCACATCAACGGCTACTGCGGCAAGCTTGACTGCTTTTTTAGGAGGTTCCATTGGAGACCATGATTTCAATTCCAAGAGCGTGGGATGCGGACGAGGAACGAGCTGCCCTTGCGGCCATCGTGATTGATGACGACTCCTTGACGTCGATCAAGTTGAGAACGCGGCATGGAAAGCTTGAGCACCTGATAAGCATCATCCGAGGCAAAGTCGCGTGCCCGAACTCAGCGACATCAACTCAGGGCAAATCCTTGTCTGGGTGAAATCGACTATGAACGTTCCCTGAAGGTTCACCATTGAACGACGGCCCACCCGAAAGTCAGCTTTCGGCGACTTGAGAATGGGATGGCAGTCATGAAATGGGCCGCGGTTGCCTTGTGGCCTCCATAAAAAAATCAAAGGGATGGGCACCCTCAAACAGGGCACCTTTGGATTCATCATGAGTGTGTGCATCAGGACTCTTACCGGATCCCTGCAATTCCCCCATATGGCAGGGACACAATTGTCATGATGACAATCCTTAGGTAAAGAATGGGGGTTACACTAACCCAACCATTGTTTTGAGGATGGTTTGACCCCCAGGGGGATGCATTGAAGAGATCCCTACTGTGTCATCTCTGGGTCAGCATTTGGCAACTCCGTGGTGCAGCTGATTCCATGGATTTGAAGTTGAGCGATCATCAAGTTGCTTTAAACCTTTGAGCATGTAGCATTTCTTTGATGGCAAAATGGAGTGGTCTCATGAGGGGATCCCAAGATGGTTGGTTGCCGGGGTTTCTCTATGGGTTCGGGCTCTTTTGAGGCTGAGCTGCCAATGCAGAAGTCTTCGTAGGATCTTCCGATGCCCTCCATGGAACTGCGAACGCCTGTCCGGTTTCGTCTTTTTTGGAGATGGTACCCCGTGTTTGGTGGTTTTTAAGGAAAGCCAAAAACGAAAACCGCCGATTCTGCGAGGTCCGATTCCTACAAAAGGACACATGTTTGTTTGTTTGTTTGCTTGCTTGCTTGCTTGCTTGCTCGTTTGTTTGTTTGTTTGTTTGTTTGTTTGTTTGTTTGGAGGTTACTCCTTCAGCTCGAATCTTTCAAGCACCGTTGCGTCTGACACCGGCGGGAGGCTGCCGGGAGCGAGGATGTGATGCACCAGCACTCTCACCCCTCCTTGAGGATGAGAGACGGGGGATTTGGCCAACGTCTCGTGATGAAAATGGCCCTGCCAAGCAGCAAACACTGATTATGGCCGCGCAGAGGCCCATAAGAAACATTGCTGAGAGATGGGTGTTCTGTGGGAGCGGTGTCATTTCTGCCGTTCCTGTTCTCCTTCGAGTAAAGCTATTGCCTGCCTGCGACGAATTGCCAAATTGCAAAATGCTGCCAGGGTGAAAGCAGGCTGGGCAGGTCACAAGTTCGACAAAAGTAGGATATACAGCAACCGTCTTGCAAGGTTCCCAGTGGACGGATTTTTGGAGATACAGCAGGCAGAGCCCAAGTCTGTCTGCTTAAGATTGTGTTTCCTGAAGCATTCAAGTTCGGATTAGTACTGGTTTGCCAGTTCCTTGCCGCTAATTCGGATTAGTACTGGTGTTCTTATTGCAATGAAGCACTCAGGGGGGGCTATAGCGATTGTGTTGGTTCCTGCGTAAGACACGGCAAGCAGGCGCGGAGAGCTACTCCCAGAATAGCTCTCCACTTTGGGCCCAAGTTGGAGAGATTTCTGGTTCTCGAGGGCAGGGCTGGGCGGAGAGCTACTCGAGTATCTCGCAGCGCTTGGTGTTGCCAGCCAAGAATCTCGCCGTTGGAAACAATGAAGGACCACGATCTCGCAGCTGGGGAAGAAAGTTTGCACATATCTCGCCGCCTGATTGCCCTAAATCCGAAATGGCTCGCTGGCTGTGTCTCCAAGAATCCGTCCAGTGGAAACCGGTGTTGTATCTCCTACTTTTTACCTAATCGTGACTTGCCCAGCCCTTTCACCTTGGCAGCATTGTGCAATTTGGCAATTCGGCGCAAGCAGGCAATAGCTTAACTCGACGAAGGAACGGCAGAAGTGACGCACGCCTCCCACAGAACACCTATCTCTCAGCAATGTTTCTCCCGTGTAGTTTTCACAAGTTGACTGTCAGGTCAACCAAAATCTTCTCTCCCACTCATAAGGAACCTTTGCGAGTTGCCTGAAATGAATATATATATATATATACACATATATTTCTCCTCTAAGCCTTATAAGAAGATGGTTTTGGCAGGAATCACAGAAAGGCCCTTTCAATGGGCTCGGGTTCCAACGTAGGAGTTGTCTTGGGATATCAACCGGGCTCGTCTCAAGCTTGGACCCAGATCAATCTGGCGGTTTTCGGTTGTTCTTTTCGGTTGTCCTTCACGAAAAGCAAGGTCTTCCAACTCCAAAGAAAGACAGACCCACCCATTTTTTGTGGCACAGGCATATGGGTGAGTCATTTCTTTGTGGTGCCCCAAAGCGGCATCGATTTCCCTTATGGTTTTCCTGTAAAACCCAAAAAGTCGTACCAACTCCAAAAAGGTAGACACCCATATGGAAGAAGCTCAGGTTGCAGCTATTCTCAGCTATGCGCTGTGTGCAATCGATCAGGATCAAACCCAAGGGATGCGTCCTTCTTTTGATGGTACTCTTTTCGGGGCTTGGTTTAAAGGGAAACAAACCACAAACCCAAATCGAAAGGAAGCACCATTTTGACAGGATCAAACGAAAGGGATCGAATAAAGATCAAGACGCATCGAACAGGATCAGGGATTGACTGACATTACTAAAATCTCGGGGTTGATTCCTTTTCCATTCAGCCCTAACACAAACAGTGTGGAACCCTACTTGGTCTCAAACAAAAACTACGTACATCTCTAGGGGTTGATTCCTTTTCCAGTCTTTTCACCCATCGTTTTTTCACAAACCGGCTGCGGCTGCTTCTCCTGGGTTTTATGGTTTCCTGAAAAGAAGGATCCCTGGAAAGGTCGGGGAAGCTGCGCGCCACTCTCAAGAGCCTGTCTTGTGGCAACATGTTCGTCCAAAACCAGGTTTCCCTCCTGGCAAATAGCTCAAAATTTTAGTTAGGAGTCTGACAGAATCGAACCAGGAATCATTAAATCTTCCTGAAAACGAATAAAGGGCTCCCCACAGAAACAAGGAGCTTTTTATTTAGAGGTAGGGGGGTCAAAATCTTGGCACTGGCCCCTACATCTCCTTTAAAAGCGGTGGGGTGAAGGAGCAAGATGTTGTACTCTGCTTTTGCCCGGAAAAAGCCTGGACACTGAATTGGCAGTGGTTCGCAAAAAATGTACCAACATAGCACCTTGGTATATGGAACCAAAGACAAAAACCAGCAGTTTGCCCAGGCTCTTGAATTTTGAGCCGCACCCAAATGGCTTGGTGGGGAGTTGCACCTATAAACGGGAGAAGACGAATCACAGAATTCACTAAACCCATAATTCACTCACCTAAGAGATTTGGACACTCAATTCACTCAACTGGTCAAGGGAATTACTAACCAAAGGGGTCATTAAACCAAGAGAATCCACCCAAGGGAAACCTAGCTCTTTAAGTTTTTCCATTCACTCAACTGGTTTCCAAACCCCAAGGGACAAATCGACGCAGGAGCGCCTTCCGGGAGATTGGCAAAGCGCAGGCAGGCAACGTTGGCGAACTTTTTGGTGCAATCTGTGTAAGGCACTTGTTGGTTGGGATGGGTGGCTTATACCATTTTGTGGGGTTTTCATCTATCCGTCCACTCGCATTCCCTAGACTTCCTCGAGAACAAGGCGTTTGTGAGGGGATTGGTTGGTTTATTCCAATTTTTTTATAGGGTTTCATCCATCCCAAGTGTTCAGGAGTAGAATTTTGCAAGGGATTTATGAGCTGCTGGGGAAGCTTGTGATACTGTTGATGGACCAAATCCATTTCGCACCACCTAAGAAACCCTGGAATTATGATTCTGATTCGATTCCCCTGTCAATTCCAACAAACAATGGCTTGCCATGCTTTCAATTTGCCCTTAGACAAAGTTCGGGGACACATCTGGAGCCACTTCACGGGGATTTGCGTTGCAGCTACACCTGTGAAAGCGAAGGCGTGCAATTCCTCAAGTTAGATGTCTTTGGAGCATTTTTTTTTTTCAATTGATCAAGTTAGATAAGTTAGATGCAATTTATCAAGTTGATGAAGTTTGACACTCTTTTTTCTGGCGCAGTTGTTTGCCCCATTCAACCTTTTAGTGTAGGTCCAAGAGCGGAGAAACCGACATCTCCTGGTTCGAGGAGGCCACGGAACCGGCCTGGGTGGCTGCACCAAACAGGGACCCCCCTGATCAGTTGAACCAGGGCGATGCTTTTGGTTGCCAACTGCAATTCATAACCCACTTGCATTGTTTTTACACCAGCTACTTGCATATTCTTTAATACATGTACAAACACCTTGCATTGGGCTGTTTTTGTTCATGAAAAGTCAAACGCCATCCTTTTGCAGGATGTTATATGGGTTGAACGCAGTTCCATTTGAGTCGTTGAGACAGACCCTGTTTTGTTTTGCAAACCCGGTCAGGGGTTGATAGTATCAACAGCCTACAGTGTGGCCTACAGGAGAAACTCCGGAACATGGCATGTTTTGCTCAAGGGGAACCCTTCTTGGACAAGGGGTAAGTAAGGCTCCAGTGAAAATCCCTAGTGAACCTCACTGTTGACCATTGTAGCTGGGTTACTGTCCATTTAGCTAAGCCCAATCCTTTGACATTGTAGACCCAGGATAAGTGACCCCCTGTTTTTTTTTTTTTTCATTTTAGAGGGTATCCTTTTTCACTTTGGGATCCCGTACCAGTTGGCAGGTGGTTTACCCAAAGGGTTTCATCCATTCCAACTGGAAATTTGACCTCCATCTTGACACGCCTGATTGACATAGAACCCTCCCAACCCCCCCGTCCGCAATCCACAAGACCCTCCTTTTGTCCTGGTTCCCGGCCATCTTTTTTAGATCCCCTCAGGCTCCTTTTTTGTTTTTTGTGTGTGTTTAGAGGGGCTTGCCACTTCACCACACTGAAAGTTGACCTGCCAGCGGGGGATCTGAGGAAAAGGGTTCCATGTGAGCAATTAGACATGGCTTAGTCGAGAGAGGGATGCACCCTCACCATCCTTGGGATTTGAAAAAAAAAAACACCAAACACACCCTTTTGCCAGAGGAGTCTCCTTTTGGGGTCCCAAAAGCACCACCTTCCCAGTTTCCTTCTCTCAGTTGCCAGGGGAGCTCCGTTTTTTTTTCTTCTTTCGGCGAGGGCATTGCCGGCTACTACCGGGGCCTCTCCGCCTTTGTGCACGGGTCCCGGCTTTGTGCCATAGGTTCCTTGTACTGGGTGGGTTGTCCCTTTGGCTTCCCCTTTTTAACACCACCCAATATTGTTTTTTTGTTCTTCTTTTTTTTTTTTCCAAAAGATGCCTTTTGCCCTTTAAAAGCAAGCCCAAAGGGTGTCAAACAAATGACACACCCCAATGGCCTGACAGCGAAACCCGCAGAACTGTGCCCTGAGTGTGGCGCGAAGCTAGGTATGTGGTCAACCTGGTGGCGTTCCTTATGGGGTTTCCGTTTAACAAGCAACCAAGAAAGAGGTTCCCCACCATTTTGAGAAGCACTCCTATACTTTTTGGCATATGGGTGTGGCTCAAAATTAAGCAGGAGGGGTTACGCAGGTTTTGGTCCATGTTTCCACTTACCAGGGTTCCATTTCGGTACCGGTTTTTTGAGCCACAGCCATATGGTTGAATGTGTGCTTTGTCAATGATCGTTGCGGCCTTGCAGCCAGTTGTTTCCCGGGAATGGAGGAGCCCGGCGAACATTCCGTAGCCTTCCACATACAACTCAGGGAATCCACTCGAACTGTACTGAGCTTACGTCTCACCTTGCGTTCATGGTCCCTTTTCAGCATTATTTGGCCGTGGGTCAAAACTGTTTTGGGATCCCATTTTGGTTGGTAGGTGAATTCACCCCCCATTTTAGGACCTATTGTAGTGGTTGAGTTGGGATGTTCACTGGGGGTACGATTTGGGTTTTGACCCATAGCCATTTTCCCGTTTTCTCTTTGGTGTTTTTCCACTTGAGGGCTCAGTGCGAAAGGAATCGCCGAAGAGGCCCTCCGGCATTGCCAAACCGATGGGACATTAAGGCTTGGGGTCCAGAGGGTGAAGTTCTCAAAGTGAATCGACCTCAACTTGGCCCATCTAGTTCTGGCAGCCCCAAGGGTGATCACCTTGTCTAGGTCCCCCAGCTAGGTGCCCTTTTTAACCAACTTTTTTGGGGAGGGTTCCCCTACTAAAATAGACTACAGAAAAAAGGGTACCGCTATTCAAACCTCTCTACTGGACCTAGTTTTATGGCACAAAGAGAAAGCACCTTGTATTTTTGGGTCCCCTTTGGGGGCAACTGAAGGGCAGCGGATCCGACATTATCTTCCATTTGCTTAAGAACATGTAGGTGGCTCGTCTTTTTTTTGGGGGGTACCGATGTTTGGTGGATTTAAAGGGAGACCAAGAGGACAATCTCACCATTTTTTGGGCGGGCTCTCAGACACCCCCTAGTTTTGCCCTTGTTGGTTTTAAAGGGAATCTATGGCTACTGGGAAAATGTGCACATCTGCAAAATTTCCAGGGGGTTTAGGCAAACGTAAGGTTTGATACTGTGGACACAACCCCATCCAACGCACCACCTTCCTATGGTTGCATTTCTTGGTGCGAGAAGAGGATTTCGCAACCATCCACAGTATGGAACCCCCAGGGGGTCCTTGTGATCAACGAAAGGAGGGCCGCCCAAAGTCAAAAGCTCGCGCTGATTTGGGCCACACGTCGAGAACACCAGAGTGCCCCTTTGTTCATTGCCTTGTTCAAAAGGGGATGCATTTGGAGCAGAGCTAGACCATGCTTGTTTTTAGCGTACACTCCCTCAGACTAACATGGAAGCTCCCAGGACCCCTTGAGAAGACTTGGTTCCATTTACAGAGGCCTTCTGGCAGCTTCCATTTTAGTCTGGGGAAGGGACCTCCACGGTATTTGTCAATTTCCGGTCGACAGTGAGGGTACGGTTCGGATTCGCCTCCTGACAAGCAGGCTTTTGGACGTCTCCATGACCCCCTAAAAATGGTTGGTCATTACCCAAAATAATGGGGACATTACCCAAAATAATGGGGTCATTACCCAAAATAATGGGGTCACTACCCAACATAATGGGGTCATTACCCAAAATAATGGGGTCACTACCCAAAATAATGGGGTCATTGCCCAAAATAATGGGGTCACTACCCCATTTTGAAAGGGTCAGAAGGAGACTCCAGGTCCTTTTGAAGGAATGTTGTTGCGGTGGCTTTCCACACGAAGCTTCGAGGGCCAAACGACATGGCCAGCGAGGGAGAAGTCCACTTTCTCGCCATCAAGCCCTTGCCCCGCTTGAAGCCCGCCCTGTAACCCCCCTTTGGGTTTGTTTAGTTTTGTCCTTCCCAAACACTGGAATCCACCAGTAGATTGATCAACTTTTGAAGCGGACATCCAGTTGAGCCACCCAAACTTCTTCACTTTTTCGGACAAATTTCGGATCAGAAAAGCGGACGGCGCCCAGGGTTATTACCCGGGTTTTGATTGTGACTCATGTGAGTCCGTCCTTTTTTAGGGACCTCCAAGTGTTTTTCCCTATCGGCTTCCCTTTTTAAAGCCACAAAAAGAGCAGGTACTTTTCAAGAACAGACACCCACTGTCAATCCTCATATGGGTATGGGTCGAAGTTACACCACCAGGATATGGACCGCAGATTTTCGTCTTTGGTTCCATTTCTCAGGGCCACCCATTGTGGGGTCACCAACTATTTTTGACCCACAGCCATGCGGGTATATGTCTTTTGGACCCCCCCCCCCCAAAAAAAAAAGGAAGAAGAAGCAGTGTGTTTTTCCTTTGGTTCCCCGTTCCCCATTCGGCCCCCGGAGTCCGAAGCGCCCGAAGCCCGATTCGACCCCTCGCGAGGCCTCGCGTCGCAGTGGCCACCTCCGCGCCGGGCTGAGTCGCTGTTAGCTCCGCGCGACGGCGAAGTTCGGGGAGCGAAAGCGGGCGGGGGAAAGCGAAGCCCAGTTCAAGCGGTGGCTCCAGAAAGTGGTGCCCATTGGGGGTCGATCTAATGCTTTCTGATGTGGCGGTGGGTCAAAACCGTTTTGGGATCACATGTTGGGCCATGGGGGGTCCCGGTGAATTCACCCCCCATTTTAGAACCTATTGTAGTGGTTGGATTGGGATGTTCTCTGGGCCCAAAGTGAGCCAACTGCTGTTCTTGCATCTGGCTCCTTCCCAGTTCACCCCTTCCGGAATTTCCTGAGAAGCGAGCAAAGAGGTCCAGTCCTTGTCCTGAGTGGGCTTGGCATGCTTGCTAAAAGGGTGTCTAAAGAGTAGACCCAAATCCCCATTTCAATGGTGTCCAAGAGTCCAAGAGCTTTCCAATTACTTAGTACTTAGTCATAATAAGTTCAAGCTCCACCCGGCTAATGCGGCGTGCTGTTCGTGTAGGCGCAGCTATCTACCTATGATGTCAGCAAGGAGTTCATCCTGCGGCGGACGGAGGCACGCACAAGGGCTATGCTTGGCTTATTGGCTCCCAGCCACCACAATAGCCTTTTCGCTTTTTAGGGTTTAGTGGTAGTTTCCATGTAAGTTAAACTTTTAGCAGGGGATCTGAGGGCAGCCCAGTTGGGTGATCGACCACTTAGTAAGTTACGACTCGGTTCTAAGGCGACCAACCCCAGTTGCCCTTCCCACCCAAACCTGCTTGGCCAAGCCTGCCACACCCGCCCGCAGCACGAGAAATATTCTGAACGTCCAAGTTTGACCTGCGTGGATGCAAAGGAACCGTTTCAACGGGGCAAAGACATCAGCTACTTGGTTCATCCAGCGCCAGTGGTGAATAGCCTCAGTTAGGGTAACTCCCACTGTTATCCATGGTGTGATCGTAGCCCCTTAGACCTTTCCATGGTTGTAGTTGGGAAACATTTTACATTTTTGCTTCCTGTGGTTTTGTGGGAATTCCCCACTTAACTGCTAAAATTTACATTTTTGCTCCCCTTCCAACGTCAACCAAGCTTCGGAAACAAGTGGCTTGTCCATGAAGCCTTCCAAAGAAAGCAGAGCGTATCGCCTGGCCACTTGAGTGTTGAGTCGTTGCTCGGTTGCGGCTTGGTTTTGTTGTTTTGGTGCGAGGTGAAGGAGGGAGTTGCCACGCATTTCGGGGCGAGCCTCATGCTGGGAGGCCCAGAGAGCGAAAACGGCCGGGCTTTAGGCTTTACGCCGGATCGGTATGGCGAAAAACCGCAGGCTGTGCCTCTCAAAATCATGGTCCCCAAGAACAGCCAAAAGTACCCCCTGGTTCAAATGCACCCAAACCTCGGTGGTTCCCACCCATCCCCTTGGGTTTTTACTGCTTTCTAGTTGGTTTAGCGGTTGGGTTTCTGTTTAACCCAGAAGTGAAACTTTGAGCAGGGGATCAGAAAACGGACAGCCCAGAGACATGGACCCTCTAATAAGGCGTGTAAAGACAAGTATGCCATACGCCCTGTGGAAACAGCCGTGTCCATGACCCACAGGAGGTTCGACCGCACAGGTCAGCCTCTTGGTGACAGAGACTCAAGTTTCGATGGGCAAGGTGAGAAAAGCCAGACAGATATCCCTGGCTTTGAACCTTTTCTTTTTTCTTCGGGTAGTTGCGGGGATGTCGTTTTAATGGACCCGGGAATGCTAGGCGCATCTTGTAATTTATAGGCGTACTGCGCCAGGTTCAATGTCTTTAGGGGAAGACCATTTCGGTGGGCAAGTAAAAGGTTTGGGCAATGGTCTTTTGCCAATCTACTCATGCAAGTACTTCTTCCAAACTGGGAGGGTCCGACCCGTCTGAAGGGGAATCTGGGGCTTTCTGACTGAAGAAAACTGGACAAGTTGATCTGCTTTAGTCTTGCCATGGGGCCATGGATCTTCAGATGCGAAGGCTGAGTCGATCTGATGCTTTCTGATGTGGCTGTGGTTGTCAAAACCGTTTTGGGATTCCATTTTGGTTGGTAGGTGAATTCACCCCCCATTTTAGGTTACCAATTTTAGTGGTTGGATTGGGTCCCGTTCACTGGGGGCTAACCGATTTGGCTTTTGAAAAGCCCATGGCCTTTGTCTCCAGAATCTGATGCTTCGAGTCTGGTTGCCAGACGCTTTTTTTCTCCAGCGGATTCGATGAGTTTTTTTTTGAGCTTGGCTTCGTGCCGCGAGGGCTTTGGAAAAGATGGGCTGGGGTGAAGCTCCGGTTTCTGTGGCTTGGGCTTGGGGTTCCAAGCCTTTGGTAGCGGGAACGACCAAAGAGGTCGCATTAGAACGTGGTCGGAGCAACCCCGGAGCAAACAGGGGGGAGGAGCAGGAGGAGATCCTTGCTTGAGCAAGTGCCGCGAGAGCTTTGGAAAAGATGGGCTGGGTGAAACTCTCGTTTCTGTGGCTTGGGCTTGGGCCAAGCTGTTGGTAGGAGCGACCAAAGAGGTCGCATTGGAACAAGGTCTTGCAACCCCGGAGCAAACGGGGAGGAGATTCTTGCTGTGGCCGATTTCCTGTACCTGGTAAATCCAGCAGATGTGGCTAGCTCTCGTAGGAACCGCCTCACAGGTGGTTGGACATGAATCCCGACCATGATGTCCATCACAGGGTCGCCAATTAGAATTCAGTACACTCATACAATAGGCATACATACATGACCTCCCACTAACATAGCATCTCACAGCGGGTCCTTTTAAGAGGAAACTGATCTTCCAGGTACCCTCCCACGGGTGCCATGTTTGTGGGAGGAAGGGTATACCAATATGTACATATATGTACAGATGTGTGTATATATATATATATGTATGCATGTATATATATATATATCTATATCTATACATATACATAGATATGCATGTGAATAAGATACCCATTTGGTTGCCATGAATCCGACTCGATTTGGCCACGGACGATCTCGGACAACCTGGGACCACTTCTCTCAGGTCAGGGCTGGCGGTGACGCTGGCCATGCAGCCCTTCGACATTGTGGCGGTGAGGCACGGTGGGTGTTGATCAGTGTGGGCCCCCGGTTTTGCTTGCGATCGGTGCGAGAGATGCAGGGGAATGAGAAATGGAATGCCCCCTACTTAAACCATCCCCGATTTGGTTTCCTTTGATCCCCAGGTTCATTCCCTTTCTCATTCCCCACTGAGCGCCATGGGTAGCTAGTCCATGGAAATGACATATCCATTTTAGTCGGGAACCGCCCCCCCAATGGTCATCCTATGTCAAGGACCTGTGTGGCGGGGCCCCGCGGTTTCGAGTTGAAAAGCAACTTCCTGGGGCTTCCAAGACTAGTTAATATTTTTTGGGAAGGTATGAAGCAGAATCAATACATGGGATTTCCGGTGTTTGGTGGCTGATGGAAACAAACTTGTTCTGGATCCCGTACAGGGCTTACATGTCGAGGCCTGAATTTGGGGATTGACAACTTAAGTCGATCCTCTTAGCTTTTGAACTTGCTGGTCTTCCTTCATTTTTCCCTACCAACACGCAGTCAAGCCTTTGCTGGATCCGTCTTGCCCACGGAATGATTGTCGATTTGGTGTGTAGACTCGTATGTTAGTTGGACAGGGCAATCGCCCCAAGTTCCACAGAAAAGCAAATTGGGGGCGGACCTGAGGTTCCTTCAGGGGTGCACTGTGGCAGTTCCCAGCTGAAAGTAGATGACATCATTCCGTGGCAGGAATGGGCATGACACCAAATTGGGGGAATTGTGCTTGCCAGCTAGTCTGGGTTACTAAGGGATGTTTGTCCCATTGGTAGTTGTTTCCGCAAAGAATTGGATATTTGGATTGAAGTTTCAAGCGTCTGAGCACATGCGATGTTTCGCTCACGGAGTTTCAACCGGCGGGCTTTTCCGCTGGTAGCTTAGAAAGTTGGCTATTCTTTAAGCAGGTATCACGCCTCTGTTCGCACTCTCAGACTCTCAGAACGGTCGTCCCCCCCCCTTCCTCTCCCTCCCGCCCTTTTGGTTGGTATTTAAAGGCAAACTAGACACAAATCAACCATTGAACAGGGCCAACTCCTGTTTTGAGAAAGGTACCTTAAGCCGGGAATGGTCGATCAAAGAGGTGAGCTGTCAAGCTTTTTCGGTGGGAAATGTGAGCTCGCCATTGACCTCAGGCTGGTTTTTTCTTGGCTACGTGCTTGGATCTGATTCCTTCAGCTTTCTGGGAAGGTGTCTATCTTCTCACCAACCAGGCAGATTTTTGAACTTACTGAGGGCGATCGCCACGCAGCCTTGCGTGTCGTGCCGTTGCTTCCCTCCAAAAGCAGTCAAACAGCGGTTCCTCCAGCACCCCCGATGGCTTCTTTGGGGCAGTTGGGATTTAGGGCAGGAAAAAGCCGGCAAGTTGGGGTGTGTGCACAGTACTTCGGATTTTCGACATGGGAACAACTCAGTTGTCAGGACATGGCTTTAAACAAGATCCTTTATTTTAATACATAAATATAGACTAATACAACAAATCCTATATATATATATACACATATCATAATTTATGTTTGTTTCTTTGGCAAATGCAACTAAACAATTATAAACCCGTTTCCTTTAGCAGCCTGCTGTCGGATGGACGGGCGCTGAGATTCGCTTGCAGGCTGATGAACCAGCCGGCCACCGGCGCGGGGCCGCCGAGCTTCAGCGTTTGGACCCCTTGATTTGGCTCGGAAGCGGTGCGGAAAACTTCGTTTTATTTGAATGGCTCATGTGTTTTTGTTTTTTTTGGTGTTTGTGTTATTTCCAATTTGTGTTTGTTTGTTTTTGTTGATGTGTGTTTTGTTTGTGTTATTTGTGTTTGTTTGTTTTTGTCTTGGTGCTAAAGGCTAGAACCCGCTTTCCTTGTTGCCAAGGACCTCCCAATGCTTGCCGACTGCCTTCGAGATGTAACCCTGGAACCTTGTTTCAAGGAACACCCTGGCCCACTTTGTAAGTCCTTTGCTGCTTCCTTCACGGCTCATTTTAATTTGTTGCATTCGACATCCCATCGTTTGCCCCAGGCCGAAGGCTTTTCTAGGAGCACGGGGGATGATGAATTTCTTTCTTTTGCTTCAGCCTTACAAACAGAGGTTGGAGATCGACAGGCTAGGTAAGGACCCCGTCCGGCCCTTACGGCTTGCAACACGTTTCGGCACGAGGCTATAGAACCTCTTGAAGTCCGCAAAATGAGAAATGGTGCTAAAGGGAATCGATTTCACTGCTGGAGTTCGTTTTCAGCTGAAAGCATTCTGGGGGCAGATAGGCCAGCGATACGGGGTAGTTCCAGGAATTGACGGGGCTGGGGATACCACCTGGGCTTGTTGGTTTCTATTGCTTTCTGCCTTGCTTTTCTTGGTGGTGCTTAGTAGGGAATGTGGGAACGAACTCAGGCTTCGGTCCCCTTAAAGAAAACCACCAGTTGGATGGTTTATAAATCATGAGGGTGATTCCCTTATTCCCTCATTCCCTGCTGAGCACCAGCGAGCACCAGCTACAAGTTGGATGGTTTATCTTGGGTTCATTCCATTTCTCATTCCCTGCCTAGCGCACCAGCAAGTTTTTTATGATTTCGGCCCGTGTTTTTTGGACAAGAGTCCAGAACCCCTGGGTAAAGCCCAAAAACCTGGGGCGGGGGTGGGAGGCAGTTTTTTGTGCCTTGCGGTGTTTTGGTTTTTGACCCACGCCCATCTTCAACTAGAATCCTGGGCCGGGGTCGTCAAAGTACAAGGCCGGCTACCTTGAGGGCGGTCGAAGGTTTCGCCGACTCCCGAATCTTGAAAGTTGGAAGGGGTCGGGCCGGGATCTGGGTGTGTCTTTCTAGGCTACCCATTTTGGGTTTGGGAGGACCACCGAAAGGTCCCCTGCCTATTTTGGGGAGTCCAATCCCTGTGGAGCCCAACGCGTTCCCTGGGCAGCTTTCCATTTGCCCCGCCGGGCGGAAGACGCGCGAACGCTGGGACGTGCAGAACCGCGTGAGAACGGGGCGACGCTGGTTCCGCTGCCTCCGATGGGCCTAGAAAAGAACACAGAACTTTGCAGTGGCCTCTGGCAAGCACAGCAAGTTGGGCAGAGTCTCCGTTTGGCAGGCTGGCAGCACAGGAGTCTTCCCTTTGGTGCATTTTGCTTGCATGGATGTTAGGGCGTTAACTTTTTGCCAACTAAGGGGTTTTCCGTATTAAACCACTAAAAGTTAGGCCTGTTTGCCCAGCCAAACTTTTAGCAGGGAGCAGAAAGCAACCTGAAGCGGCCTGACAGGCTGACCCCATCTTGAGTGTCTTGCTTGGAGGGCATCGCTCGGTTTCTCCTCCAGTTTGGCAGTTCCCGGATGTGGGCATGTATAAGATCAGGGTACCCCTTTCAAGAGCATTATGGTTGTCATTTTATGTTCCCAGGTACCCTCAAAAGGACACAGCAACACATGATTGGTTTCCACTCCCCAATTCTAAGAAATCTCCATTTGGGCATGTCGAAAATTGGGGGACCCCGTGCACGGACCCCAAGCATGGACACCAACAGGTGATGAAACTTCTTCTTTGAGATGTTTGTGGTGTGTCACGTTGCATGTCCAGCATGAAGTTGCATTTTGGCGGCCTTTGGTGGCCGCGCAAGCAGGCTCATGTTGCAGCCTGGTTTTCCTTTCGGTTTCCCTTGGCACACACCCGAAACTGGGCATGTCCAAAATTGGGACCCTCCAAATGCGGTATGTCCTTTCAGTTTCCTTTGGAACAAACCTGAATACCAAAGCCCCCAACCCGACTCCGGATTCCTCGACCCAAAAAACACGAAGCACCTGCGACCCCAAAAAGGGGAACTCACTTTCCCCCCCGGCAAAAGCCTGAAAAATAAGAGAAGCGCGCCATTGACCTGGTTCAATCGCCGAGGTGCCTCTCTACACGGGGCCGCTGGACTGCGGCCGGAAGATGCTGAGCCACGAGGGACTGCACGGCAGCCCGGTGGGTGGGGATCTGAGCTAGGGCCCCCCAGTACTCGGTGCCCGCTCTCTTACCGCTCCTTTTTTGGTGAGGGTTCGGGTTCGGGTTGGTTCCCCGACTAAAATAGACGCAAAAGAGAAAAGTGGGTGCCGACTTATTCTCTGCTGGAAAGCTAATGTGGGTCTTTTGGTGTGTTTCTTCAAGCAGATCCAAGGGGAAGAAGAGGT